GGGTATTGGTCCTAAAGTACGTGGGGACCTATTCTCTCGACGTCTTCAGACAGTGGCAGCGCTACCACAGTTCGGTCTTCAACGGTCGACTGTTCGGTATACTCTTAATCACTATTTTGTCTCTCATCGACAACTAATTTAGACGCCTTGGATGTTTCCTTTCAAATAAACATCCATGTTCTTATACACTCGACGTATACGGGTGGTAAACATTCGACACTGCCTGTGTTTCAAGACAGTTACCGACCGCTTGCTCCAAATCGTAGTGTTTACAATACACTGAGCTTTTGTGCAGTCGTACTAACGACCAAACCACGAGCGAGGTCACCCTCTCACTTGTAGAGCATTAATACGCTTGTGAGCGCTCCAAGACGTTTATCAGATGGACCTCTGATGAACAAGCAACATGCATCTTCACGGATTGATCCTGCAAGATAACTCTTGGCTCGTACCAATGATCCATGGTCGACCAAGGATGACATCAAATTTTCACCCAAGTCCAGTACGCTAGATTTATCATTGTACTGCTCATCTTATGATTTGTAGTGAGTTCCCACTACACGTCTTCTCATTGCTATAGATGCGCCTGTTTCAAAGCGCACCGTAATGCTCGTAGGAGGGGTGTAGCACTGAACGAGCTTGAGCCTACAATCCTCTATCGACTGGCCTGGCGTCCTATAAAGTTGTCTGAGGCCCCACTGTCGAATGGAACACGAAGTGCTAAATCTTGAATCACTTCGATATTCAATGTGATAAGAGTAACACATTACTAGGGGTAGTACCACACAATGAATGTGCTTTAGATGCAACATCAATCAAGATATTTACAAAATTTATTATCATAGATGGATCATCAGGGATATCCTCTTCTACTGGCACCGACCGTTTTTTTGACAGCAAGCCTCATTAAAATGTGGTGAAGTGATTTTGAAGAGTAGTAGACCATGAGGTCGGCACGGTGAAGGGACAAGAGTCAAGCTCAGGGAAGAGGGTGTCCGAAGGAGAAAAAAATTCGATAGTTGTTGAGCCGTCGTGATATATGGTACCGAAGGATCAATTAAGAGGAAGTCCGTTGCGAAATTACCGATTAAGATGTACTGACACAAGACGACCGCGGCTTATCACTGGTAGACCAGGTCCATCAGCGTTATGCCTGGTCCCCTACCGGTATACCTGGGTACCTCATTAGTACACCCGCTCCCTCACCGGTAGATAATGGCATCTTCTTATTCGGTCCGGTCTCGCATTGGTAGGTCCGGTCGCTTAGTGGTATACCCGGTCCCTCACCGGCTAGCCTGGTTCTATCATGGTAGACCTGGTCCCTTCTCGGTGGACTCGGGTCCCTCACAGGTGGACTAGAGTCCCTTGCTGGTAGACCCGGTCCCTCAAGGTCCGGCTACTCTTGACCAGTTTCGTGAAGAGTCAGTGCACCGGGCAAAAATAGAGTAAATAATTTTGAGGATAGGACGATATTGAGTAATTCTAATTTGAGATCTACGTGGCACGTCGTTGTCGTGCTTAAAGAGATAAATGGTAAAGTCTGCCGTCCTGTTCTGAAGTTGGTATACACTTTGGCCCCCCGTTGTAGACAGATCCGTGGCGAGATCAAGTTCAAGTAGTACTCCAGGAATTATATTACCTCTGGGTTCGTCGAGTAGCAACTCCGCTCTATATCCGCAATCGGAATCGGCCTCCCAACCTAGCGGTTAAGAAGCACGGTATAGGCTAGGAGGTTAGCCCCCTGTGATTGCACGAACGCCATGGCGACAAGCTACCTGAAGAATTTGATCATTGGTTCACTCTCGATCGAGTCGATCGAGTGGGCACCTACTGGCTCACCGAGTAAATCATATCCACTCGGTTCCCAAGCCTACCTCTACCAAGGAGAACCCATCTGTGTCTCTACCCGAGTCTACCGAAGCGTAAAACCCGCCAGCCGACGGGTACACATGATTCAAGGTCCTTGAGGGGCATCGAGGTACCCCCTGTCAGTCGCAGTCTTGCACAGTGAGTGTTTTGGGGGCTCATCAGGAAGTATTGAGACCCCACCTTACCACATATTCGATTTTGCAGCAACGTCGGAACCGCGTATTGGTGCATTTTTGGCCAACAGACGGTCGATAAGTACTTTAATATGTACACCTGGGTTTGAGGGACTACGCTCAAAGGCCTAGTGTTCTACTGTTTGACTAAAATTGCATTTCGAATCGTTTGTACCCTCGGGAGCGGGTACGCTGCCCTCCACGAAACAGATGTTCGTAGGATGTCCGGTTTGCTATCTTCTCGAAGGACGTCAGATAGACGAAGTAGTTTGACCTTGGAATAAACTTGATGCATCCTGCTCCGCAGCGAAGATCTCTTGATCTAGTAATTTCGATGTCAGGCAAACAGATGGGTCATGACGGTACCCTCCGTGATACCTCGGATACACACATTAATGTTCGTGTGCTCACCTATCAGACTGGCGGTAATGAAATTTAAAAACATCGGATCTTCTGCGCGCAAGCATGCACAATGGATTGCCCTTTGAGTTCTAGAAACTCAGCACGAGACCGGAATTCGGCTCGTAGCGGCTCGAACATTTGTCGTAGCCGGGACTTGAAAGATTTCTACAACCCAAAAAATATATACATCGTGGAACGTAAGCTCAATTCTTGTCATGTTCAAAACAATTGGACTGTAAAAATGCAACTTGCATCTCATTGTCGAAGATGCGACCAGCTCGTATAGAGTCGTCCAATTCGACGAGCCATTATAACAGGAAGTCTTCCTCTACTCTTCTATAGTTATGGCTGTATCAACATATCTTCAAGGTCTCGGGACGACGCGTGTATGTGGACCCGCCCATAACAGCATCAAATTGATGCCGTCTCAACAGATCGACATGTTGATCACCGGGTCCTCCTAACTTTGTGGTTAAGTGATCACGAGATTTGACCGTGGCGTTGGGACGCAGGATCTTATCAGACGAATGAGTGACAGAAAATGACTGTTGAAGTTATTCGGATGGTACTACCTAACGGTCGAGAAGGAGTATAGTCGAGGATCGATAATTGGTCGATCGCGATTCGCGATCAAGGGCTTGAATCACCAAATTACAAGGGCTTGGATCGCCAAATTACAAGGACCGGATCGTACAACGGGTGAGCATCAACCAGAGTACTGGATCGCTAACGGCAATGGAAGATAGGTGAATATGGAAATAAGCTGGAGGAGCGGATCGCCAAAATCATCAAACATGGGAGGTCTCAAAATTGACTGCGACCCGACGGTCGATGCTCGATCAGAGGCTCGAAAGATTGATCACAACCCACCCTGGGCGTGTTATGCTTGATTGTGTCGACACATACTTGCGTGGAAACATAATTGGTGAGGAGCATATACCGCGATCCACTACCCCGCGATCCACTGCACCGCGATACGCTGCATTGCGATCCGCGTCATCGCGATCCCACTATGGAGCGATCCATTAGGGAGTGGGTCGAGGTGGATCACATACCGCGATCCACTGCACCGCGATCCGCTACAAAGTGTATGCTGTAGACCACATGAGGTAAGAGATGAATACATAGACAGGCGATACGCAACAGTGATCTAGCGAACAGATAGGCATAGTCATAGGTTTTGGATTTGGTTGGTTGGCATTTGAACAGGAATGAGTTTGCAACGAAAGACACGCGTCTACTTCTCCCGGGCAGGATCTTTGGCCTCCCGTTGAATAGAGAGTCACCCAAGTTTCAGCGAACTTCGCCCTTGGATTGTTTGGCCAGGCGAAACGTCAATTCTCACCCCCCCATCAACCGCGATAGGACGCAGTGAACCTTACGGTTCAGATTCAAGATCACGAGACTGCTTAAGCGGTCAGAAGGCTCGCGTATCAAGCATCACCCCTGGCAAAGGCGAATCTAAGAGAGCGTCCAAGTTACAAGCGATCGAGTGAAGAACTTTCACGCGATCCGCACCTACGTTTGACCGGGTGAAGCATTTCCACTCGATCAACACTTCTATCTAAGACGGTCAAGTTCAGCTTCAGCTCAAGTCCACCAAGAAGAGCGCAACCCGCCCCACCGACGGGTACACAAGGTGAGCTAGAACATACAAAACACGGAATCGGGGTACCCCCCCCGTTAGTCGGTCGTCCTGGCGCCAGTGCAGAGTCAGGATCACAAGAAAATTGTGATTACCACTCCACCACAACTTTTAGGCCTGTTGAGAGCCTTGCTGGTGAAGCAAAGATACCTTTCACTAGCGAAAAGTTCATTTAAGATGAACTTGGATATAGCGGCATGTTGTTGGTCTCTGTCAAGAGCCTCCGACATGGCACTAACGTCATTTGCCAAAAGAAGGACTCATTTGCTCTACCGCACTCCATTCGATGTCACTTGAATGGTAAAAGCCTTCACGCGTCTTGTGGAAGCTTGTCTCAACGCCCAACCTGTTCAGGCCGGATGAGGTGATCGTGGTCGTTTAGCAGCCACTTTGTGCTACCAGGTGTGACGGGGACGCATCTTACCAGTTTGCTGGTAATTCCTTGTATATAATATAATATGAGGGTGCGTGATATTGTATCTCAACTACACGCGCGCGTTGAGGAAGCGCGAGAGAGAGTTGAGCAAAGGATGCTTATGAAAATGGTGAAAGTAGATTTGTATCCGATACGATCAGTTTCGTTTAATCAATCTTCTTTGTCTTACCTGAAATATATCAAACTACAATCTACGATTCAATTTTCTCAATCCCACCCATTGCGCGCATCTAGAAGCGATTGATGGTTGATTTGGCAGAAATCATGGCCCACATATCAATCAACAAGTGGAGCATCCATAAAGATTTCCTCCAAGGTAATATTTTATCCATATTTCCTTAGCGACGCAATATTGATTCATATTGTCAATTAAGATAATCTTCGCATTGATCGGTTTTACTATCAATAGAATAAAAAGGGGTCACTTCGTTTTATGACCTGCTGCTAAGACCGATACAACGTTCGCTTTCGTCCCATGACGAGTGTCGCGAGTCGCAGCAGCGGCGCGAAGAGCGCACATGGCTCGACCACGTCATGGAAAGAGCACGTTCTCGACAATGTTACGGTACCGGCTGAAGACGTGGGCGACGCCATCACGTGTCTGCTGCACACGGTGCTGTTTACGAGAGCCCCGGGGCCTGTCCGCCCCAGCGAAGCCTCGTGTCAAGCGTTTCCAAACATCACGTACGCGCTGTGCGCAGTGGGAGACGTGAGTCGCAAAGTGGACCACGCGGTGCGCAGCTTTGAGGAGTTGGTGGTCGGTGGAGAAAGTCTGGCCGCCGTTGGTGGTAGTAGGTCTTTGACGGGAACTCTCGGGGGCGCTCTGGTGACCTCAAACGGACAGCCATTGCTGAACTCGGCCGGTGCCAGCAGCACCGTCCGCGGTGGCCATCGCGGGTACGTCGTCGTCACGTTCTTCGAGCGGACAGTGAAGAAAGCGCTGTTTGGACTCATGTCAAACGAGGAGAAGACCGTGTTTGAGAAGTGGATCGTGCCCGTGACGGTCGCATCGTTATCAGCAGCGTCACAAGGTGAGACGATCACATGCGGTGTTCAGTGTACGAAAAAGAGCAAGCACTGTTGACTCTTGCTTCGGTGTGTAGAGGAAAAAGAGACATGTGCGGGCGAGACGGAAGCAGCGCTACAAAATGCACTGTTGCATATTTTGACGGCAGTACAGAGCATTGAGCACATTCCGAAGGCGATGTATGACTTTGACATCATGACATGCACTAGTTTGGACTCGGCTCGAGATGGCAGCATCTATGGTGCAGGGCTAGGGAGCTCTAGTGTGGGCCTCATGGCGTAGCTGACGGATGATGGATCTGCTGTCCGATGGAAATCTGTGATTGATGTTCTGCATTCATCGCACTACTTTCCGGCGGCATTCGTTTGTGCTCCAGTATCGGTGTGCAATTCGTGCCGAGACACCACAGTCCGTCGTTGAAGTGCAGCGTTTAGCTCGACGAAAAGTAGTGTTGTAGGGGGTGAGCGAAAGCTACTGAAATGTCTATGGTGACTCGCATGCTGTAGTTGGAAACCCCGATGTCGTAGAAGTCTTCGGCTTGGACGTGGGGGTCCTCAGGTACCAATAAGACCATGAATGATCTGAGCTTGAGCGATGGTTGGGACGCAACGCTGTACGAAAGCTACACAGCCATGCGCCTTATCATCGCGTTGCAGAAATCTTCGCTTTGTCCGCCATTTATGTCTCGCGCATCAAGCGAAGGCGAGGCTCAGACTTTGTCGTCTACGTCAGCTGTTGTGACAAAAAACTCGTCAAACCAACACGGGTCCGATCAGATCATATCTGTGTTGAGATCCATCGGTGTCAGTCTTGCTCTCCTTATACACCCTCGGGTCATTGTGCTGTGACCGTTTACAGCTTCTCCGTCAGTGCAACTCAATGAACACGATAGTTTCACAACAGTTTCACTCGTTGACGAATTCGTTTCGATGCTTGCACCGCTCTCATACAGTATCGCCTTCGCAATACATTCAGTCATTATTGAGCGGAAGGATTATATTCCTATCGTCACCATTATCAAGCGTTGGTCTGCTGAACTTCGAGACTACACAGGCTGCGTTGATGCCAAGCTCTGTACAGAGAACTCAGAATTGCTTGAGGTCATTCATGCTACGGACAAGCTCACTTTGCTGAATGAACAATGTGTCAGCCAAGCGATTCTTTCTTTAGCTAGCGAAGCACAAAAGTGTGTTGAATTCGCTCTTGTGGGCAACGAATGCTGTTTTTAGATTTCAAAACGTCTGTAGCCTTTACGTCGCTTACACTCAGCGCTGAGTAACCATTTCTCGAAGGGCTCACATGCTACAAGATGCGTTGAGTTGATGCACAAAGACATGCGCCTTGATTTGGGTCCAAAGTGAACGTCAACGCCGTCGCAACGGGAGATTCGAGCACCAAAAGAGGTCTTGCTACCCCATGTCGATAACTCAAAGTGATCGTCGCAACTATCTACGTGTCTCAAGCTTCAATTCTATCGAGCACATGATCGCTTCCGATGATGGCGTCACGAGCCGAAGACTTTGTACGCACTGGTCAAGATGTGCTTGATAGCTATCAGACCAATCAACGGTCTGCGCTTCGTCCATTGATGGGCAAGTCGCTGCAGCTAGCTGGCAAGATACAGACCGGGGCTTGATGTTTTGGGCTTGCACACGTGAGCGATAATATGTGGAGAGCATGACGTTACCGAGATGAGCTCTAGGATTGCATCTCGTTTCCTGAAGTATGTCGAGACACTGCTCGTAGACTTCAAAGTACCGGACAGCGTTGTCACTTCAGGATAAACTCAAGCTCAGTGAATTTCGAAACCTTAGTCGAAACTCGAAAAGTACATTCGTAGTGCGAGTGTAACGGGGCAGCCCGTTACATGGAATTGTCACTTTACATAAAAAATGCCAATAAAGAATATTAAGTTGAATATTCTTTTAACAATATCACCAAAGTGGTGATATTGAAGGGTCGACCAAAGGGTCTGCTCATTGGTTGATATCTTGACGATATCAACCCACCACACGCCGCAGGACGCGCGCTATGAGTGGTGACGAGACTTCACCATACACTCAGTTAGATTAACATAATTTAGTCAGGTTAACCAAAGAGACAGTAACAAAAGACTTGATTATATTAATACAACAGTTTTACTTTTCCCTTATCTACGCATCCTCGTTTGCCTTGTGTACGTCTGTCGGCCTACCAAAACCCTTGCGTTAAGGTCACGCAAGGGTGTTGTCCGTTACAGCGAGATACGAATACGAAGCGAGCTCCTGCCATTTGTGAAAGCTGCAATAACATTATAACGGACTACAACAACTTTGTAAACGTGAATGCGTCACAAGATTGCTGTTGTCCGCTCAGATATCGACGGGATCGTTGCACGGAAACATGCGGTCCAAGCCCAAATTTTGCAATGCAATGCATTAATTGTAATTGTGTTATTCACAATTTGCCTAACTCGAATCAGCAAAAGCCATCATTACAATCACCCGATCCTCGATTCTGCTTCGCAGAGGTGCAGAATAAAAATAGCGCCGCCTTTGAACCGTTGCCATGCGAGTCATGGTTGCGGCAGTTGGGCCAGCACAACGCCGACGCAAGGTAAGCTGCGCAAATGAGTTCACTGCAGAGCGATTCGTCAACGAACAAGACGTCGATCTGTGCTGCTCGATGTAACGTTATGCTGTCTGCGCGATCAACGATGCGAGGTGAGAATATACAGCATGGTGTTGACTGGAAGACAAAGAGTAGCGACCGCCAATCACAGTCCTAGGCTGAGACGCCGGTCACTGCGCTTACAATCCACCATATCATGGGAGGGGCGAAGCCCCTGTTTTGTATGCCATCAGAGGGACACACGTAATCGAGAATAACAGTCTGATTCAACAACTGTTTGCACGGCGTACATACCTCGTCTTCTCGACCGATAAAATTTGGGCACATGTGACCATGCTGTGGTGAACAGTGTCTGCTATCCTGTTGCGATACTGTGAAAAGCTACTCGTGTAATGGGGTGAGCCCGTTACATAATAATTCATTTTTTTGTATCCTTGTTTTTAGCATTATCTATTTTAGATAATTTTCAATTGACATTACTCGTAAGGATTAAGGTTGAAGGAACATTACCCCCGAGGCTAACATTTCATTTATGGGTTGCTCCACCTGATGGTTGTTGTACTCGGTACATCAACCAGACTAACTACCAATCGCTGCTGGACGCGCGCAATGGGTGGTGAGAAAGAAACCCACATAGCAGAAGGTAGTTTAATATAGTTAGCTCAAGACTAAAGATAGTTTATTAATAAACATAACTATATAAAATTCAATTCTACTATTCTTCCCTTCGACAGAACTTTCGAGTTCTGTCAACTTCGCTGCGCTTCCTCACTCCACGCGTACGTGACGTCGGGTGCACACAACATTGTGTCGAATTGACACAAGGCGTGCCCCGTTACAACGTGAGGAAGAGCGAGTCACTATGGTGGGCTTTGTCATTGTCACGTTTTGTCTTGGTGCTGCAGGATCGAGCATACGACGACTAACGTTACTTCTGTTGGGGTTACAGCGCGAGGCGCTGAGTAACTTGCCACAAATTATTTAGCCTGTATATAGATGTTCAGTACAAGGCCGAGTAGAGACAGTAAAGCTTTCGGGCACAGGTTGTATGCGCTGGATCTGTGCATCCGTGTGAAGACCACCTGCGGTAGCGCCAAGAAGTTTCTGTCGTAAGTCCTGTGTCATGTTTGCTTTGCTGTGTTGTTATTCGTCGTCTTATGATGTCAATATTCGTACCATGAGCATCATTTACATCACTGTAAAGTGACACTTTGACACTGTGCTGTCTCAGCCTACAGTACGTGCACTCACTCAACTGACTTCATCAAGCATTACCGCCAAGGCGAAAGCTCCCAATTTATACAGTACAAAACCATAAAAGTCTGGATCATAGCGATGAAAAAATCGTAGTCGTACAATGAAGAGGTGAGCAAAGCAGTCACATTGACGCCTCTACGCACCTATCACTTGATTCATCATGACTGTAGACGGTACAGAAGGTACAGACGACATAGACTTTAATTACTGATATTATATAGGGAAGCAAAACGATATACATGGACGTGTATGTGCGATTGCAGGCATGTGTGTATGCGCTCGTGCAATATACATCAGTGGCGCATGTGTTTGTTCGTATCATTTTATGCTTTCTTCTGATTATTCGAGCATTTTATTATCCCATCTTGTGACGCACTTTTTGTTTTCTGCTACTACCAAAATACGTTTGCTGTCCCAATCGAAACAGATTGATTTTCAGAAAATACGTCTTTGAATCAAGAAATGTCACCTGATGTTACGGTCTCTCGGTACCTGAGGCTAAACTACCCATGTATACCGGCTCTCGGTATCTGAAAGCTACTATGCCGATGTATAACAACGTTTTGGAGCTGAAATTGGCATCACGACTCCAAACGACAACACGACATATTCGATGGTCATAGGGCCAAATAAACAACGAAGCACTTTATAGTCTGCGTTGTTTTGGGCGGGGAGTAATAATAAACACGAACTGGCGTCAGCCAGCATCTATCAAACGACGGCAACCGAGCCACCACCAGCCCCCTCCCCCGGGATAGGGAATAAGAGGATGAGCCTCTTTCAGCAGCATCGCTGGGGATCCGCGTTCAGGAGTCACGAACGTTTAAAAATTTCTTTTTATCACACGGTGTAGTGAACGAACCGCAGCCGTCCGGTTACCTCGCAGATCCCATATCTTAGGAAGTAGCTGATGGCGGCGATTATGTCAGCCTTCTAGAGAGCGTCACGTCACCGGGATCTGGGTTGGACAGCAAAACAATCGACGTTTTACGCCCAGCTCCAGCCGTATCGGAAGAGGCTCTGCCTAACACCGAAGGTACGCCGTCCCAATATTGATAAGATTAGTGAGGTATTTTCTGGAACGCAAACGACCCACTATATCCGGTATATTTTCTAACCATGGCTTTTGAGCGGTAGTGGCAGATTTTTAGCTACTGTGGTAATTGTACTGCAATTATTACCCTCAGGGATTTTGGTACACATTGAGGGGATTGAACCTGCAGTCATCATTTTAAAGATTAGCCTAACGCACCACTTCCCCTAAAGAATCACTAATGGGTGCCGCCCCAGGTGAGCACGGTACAGTCACCGGTCCCTAGCGACTATGTGCGTCCGAGCGTGAAGACGTCCACGGAAGCCCTTACCCCAGACGGACCCTAGGGACATGTTTGAGGCCGTATAGAAGTCGATGAGGA